TTATTTTTATATTTATTTATTTATTTATATCATAAAAATATGTGATATATATAAAAATAAAAAATAGATGGCAGGAAAAAAGATCTTGCTAAATAACTCTTGCTTGCTTTGGGATAAATCATGTTTAGAGACACATATTTCCGTTTGGGAATGTTGATTTTTAGAATATTTTATGTTTGTAGCGTATACCTTTAAAAATTCACCGCTTTCTTCCGAAATGATAGGGCCAAATAGGAGTTGATAGTTTACAGCTTTCATCATTATTTCTCATTAATACGTCCAAATGGCGTGTTTTGGGGCTAATTGAAGTCATGCATTTGTAGCAGACTAAATGTCATCCGGTTGTGATGACTCGCAGACCATGCGGGTTGTTGCACTCTCGACACACGGTCTCTGCTAACGCCAAGTAAATTAGGTGCATCTTTTTAGACAATTCTCAACAGATCTTCTACTTTTGGGATAAACTTTTGGTCATTCAGCCATCCTGAGTAGCTCTGGCCAAGCCGGCAGAATCATGATGCGGATTCGTCGTGTACTCTCGGCGTACTCATTCACCACCTCTCCACTGACTTTTTCCTCTTCATTTTCCCGTATCTCCTTTGACATCGTCTGGCTAAACTCATTCGATGGCGTGAAACGAAGACTCCCAGACACATCGTGCGCATCAATTAACTCGCACACACTCACTCTTTTAATAATTAATGAATTCAGGACTCAGGTGGCGTTGATTCCCTGACAAGATGGTTTGATAAGTTGTTAATCGCCTGAAAGAGGCTGTTTCATTTGCCCCAACCGTGAAGGCACCACCAGCCGGGCCATTCGAAGCATTTATTTCAAGACCCATTTTTCCCATACCCGTTATCATTCGTGACCGGCTAATCATTCTAGTTGTTTTGCACATTTCAGCAACCAGACATGACGCTCAGGCCAATTGCATCCGACACGCTTCTTCGGATCGACCCTGCTGGATTCTTCCTCTTCTGGCGTCCGAACGAAATGACCGTAAGCCCAAGACAAGTGTCTCCATGTCTCGATTCCTCGTAGAAACACGAGTCCGTCTTGCCTCTTCATGCTCCCCTCCTCTGGCTCCAACTAACATTCACTTCGACATGATTGCTCAACAAGTTGAATATAGCGCACTTAAATAGTATGAAATTAGTATTAATTTTGAGTTAGCACCTACTCTTTCTGGTAAAATCCAGTCTTTTCACCAGTCCTCATTTCGACGCCAGTTTAACATTCTTTATGACATGAGACAAAGGAATGAATTTGGTTGCTTAATCCTTCATATACTAGCGATTCCAGTTTAGTCCACCCGCTCCTTGTTTGAAAGGAATTTGGGTCATTTATGTAAATTTAGTGTGATCCGAGGACAGGATCTGTCTGTAAAATATAAAACATTTGCGCTCCGCGACGTGATATAAGATAGGATTCCCCGGGACTAGGAGAGAAAGGGAAAAGTCGTATTGCCAAATGTCCTATTTAGAACCAGCTGAAATGGAAATTGAAGCATTGACGGCGATGCGTAATAGAACGATCCAAACTCCGTGGGTAACAGTAGATCAGAAACAAAAGAGAACGAAAACGTGGCCGATCTAGACAATGTGTTTTCTGCTTGAAATGCTCTTGAATTTCACATGGCCTTGATTCCCCTAAAGGTGCTCTCATTCAGGTTAACTGCCAGTTCGACCTCGCCTAGGTCTTGTCAACACTCCAAGCAGGAGTCGAACCATGACAGTGCAAAGTGTAATCTTGACACGTCAGCCACTACGCCACATTGCCACGGGTGCCCTTGGGTCACAGGACAGATGTGAATTTAAAAGGAGGTCAGAAATTTTCCCATATCACATTCTGTGATGGGATTGTCGATGAAGCAAACTTATATTTGCCATAACAATCAGTGGCACCGCATCGTACCTATCCTTTGAACGTTTCAGAAGGTGACATGTAAAACTAAGCGAGGGTACTCCATTTTTGCAGTCGGTTTTCTAGACTACCAGTCAATCAGTTATACGAGTTGTGTTCACCCTATTGCGTTTAAGATGATGAAGGACTGGTAGCTGAATATTCCCATAATGATATGAGTAGAGGTGAAGTTTTTCATTCAATTTCATATAGCCTTGCTTTCCCAAAATATGTCGAAACTGCAGTCCCCTCTGGATGAGAGAACTTATTGCGAAAGTAAGGCAGTTAAATTCAATGGAAACGTCAGGTTTACTTATAGCACTGTGAGAAGATTCAACTGCTAGTTCCATTATCACCTTAAACGAAATAGGGTGAATACGCTTCACATAACAAAGGTGTCTAGCCATGGCTAAGCACGTAATGTGTCAAGAGTAAGCGTTTAACGAGAAAGTGTATGGATAGGTCACTATATATTTTTATACGTGTGGAGTCAAACAATCGAGGGTAAGTATTGCTTGCCTGTGTATCTCTGATTTGGTGTTGAAAGACGAAATAAAGGGATCTTTCTTGGTTGGCTAAGGCAATCAATTTTATTAAACCAATTTAAGGATCCTTAATTTCAACATGTATAAAAGAAATTCTCAGCTGATGCTTAGAAAATCAAAGTGATCTTAATGTCAAATAAGTTATTCTTAGTCAACACCATAATCTAATTACGTAAATATAATTCATTTCCTAATCTGTAAGTAAACACTAATCATAAAACAATATTTACGAGAGAATTAGGCAATAGATCAGAGTATACAAGGCTTTATAATAGGGGGAAGAGAATGATTGCGATTGTACAATGGCAACCCTTGGTTTAGTGAACCTGCATTGAGCTAAAAACTCCTTAGAGCAAGGACATGCTGCTCCACCGCTCCTCTTCTGTCGTTGTTACCTTCTGGGGCCCTCTGTGGCCGTACACAACCTTCTTGCATCTAAATCACATTGCAAAATCGCAATTGTCTTCTTATATAGAATCGGCCCCAGTAACTAGATTTGTTCATATAAACAAGCGCAAGGACTAGGAAAGATTTTTACTATACAAATTAGATAACCAGAACGCTAAGAGATATTGCCGAATAGATCGCCTGCAAATATGTATATATATATATATACATATATACATATATGGAGAGATATAACATGATTCGGAAGGATCCTACTCATGACAACCTAAGTAATTTTATGCTTGTGTGTATGTGTGTGAGTGAGTTTGTATGCAGACACATGTGTGTGAAGAGAATAGAGTAAAAGCGCGAAATCACCAGTCATAAATGAATGTCTACAACAGAATCTAGCGCTATTTCAGAGCTATCACAGAGTAATGACACGAGGAAAAGCATGATTGCGATTATGCAATCCGAAACGTTGATCTGAAGAGCCTAAGAAAGATCACCAAGCAGATTAGTTGAGTCGCCTATATTCAGTGTATATATCAATATGGGCATATATATAGAGAGA